AGTTAAGAGAATGAACTAAGTTTTAAAATGGATAAAGTTATTTTAATATCCATCCATCCATTATCTTTACCCGCTTATTCCATTTTGGGTCACGGGGGTTGCTGGTGCCCATGTCCAGCAATCACTGTGCGAGGGGCGGGGTACACCCTGGACGGGTCGCAAGTCCATCACAGGGCCACATAGAGACAAACGAGACAAACAACCATTCACTCTCTCACTCACACCTAGGGACAATTAAAAGTTACCAATCAGCCTAACATGCATGTTTTTGGTCTGTGGGAGGAAACCGGAGTACCCGGAGAAAACCCACGCATGCACGGAGAGAACATGAAAACTCCACCCAGAAAGGCCCCTGGACCGGGGTTTGAACTAAGGACCTGCTCGCTGAGAGGCAGCAGCTCTACCAGTTGCGCCACCGTGCTGCCCTTATTTTAATATTTAAAAGAAAAATATTTTTATTTCTGCAATTTTACATTAATTAAAAACCTAGAATTCTTGAAAAAATGTGTCACTCACCACCTTTTTTTTATGCCAGGGTTCAAGATTAAAGGTATCACATTCTGAAAAGACATAGATTTAAACTAATTATCTGACTGAGTTGAAACCATTTTTTGTGTAAGGTTGATTCGCTGTGGCAGAAATCTTCAGTGGGGATGAGTCCAAAAGGTTCTTTGCTGTAGTTGTAAATCTACTGATTACTTTCTGAAAGTTTCATCAACATTTGTCCACTGGTTTATAAGATAGTTTGTTAATGCTACAAACAAACACAAAAATGGGCAAAAACATTATCATCTTTGCATTCTGCAGCAGGCAATACACAAAAGGTATTTTTTCTTTCTTTCCTTCAGGACTTACAGATGATCTGCAGCTTTGAAATTTTCTCAGACTTGTCCCAGATGGGCTGCATATGAGAACACAAATGCAGACAAAATGTATTCAGTTTTCTGTAAACAGTTTTTACACCATGAACAAAATTCATTGTACATGCATTACTCTGAATAAACTCCTTTTTTCCCAATTATGAATGAATCATATGTTGGGCAGGATTCAGTGTCTTGCCCAAAGACAGTTGAAAATGTCAGAAAGCTGAGGATTAAATTACCCTTCTGTTTGACCGACAACTATGTGAATATTTCAGCCAATAAAACTGATTATGATTCTGAAAACATACAAGCTGAGGGTTTTGCCATGGCCCCCTTAGCTCTGAACATAAACAATATTGAAAATATGTTGACTGGCAGAAAAGTGCCCAATTATCTCACAGAAATGACCAAAAAAAGCAAGGTTTGAAGTGTTTACAAGCCCTCATGGGAGTTTACAGAGTAGCAAACGTGCAAGGTGCTCATTTTTAAACTTTTAAAAGTTTCTAATGAATTCAAGTAACAAAAGAGAAAAGTTTCTCCTTCATTCTTTGTTGTTTCTAAAATCAGGTCAGTTTTCTAACAACAATTTTTTGGCTTTTCCAAAAGAAAAAAATATATATATCAATGTTGAGCACAGTACTGGAGCTAACACAAATCTCTTGGGTAATTTTACCATTAGTGGGTTGTAAAAAGCACAGATAAATCCAATTCCGAAGTAAAATTTTTGTTAAATAGTTAAACTTTGTCTATTTTACATCTATAAAATCCTAAATAATTCCGGCTCAAATAAATCATTTTGCTTTATATAAAGGAGCATTAATCAATGAATGATTAATTATTGTTTATATTGTTTATTATTGTTTCATTGCTTTACTTCTTTTCAAACTACCGGTAGTTAGTCTCCAGATTATTATCCATTATCATTTGAGTTGTTCAATTTTGTTTATCGTTGTTGATTATTCTTATCTTCAGTAATTATTTTGTAAAAAAAAAAAATTAAAAGGCAAATTCATTTTCCTCCTCAATTAGTGTATTATTGTGATAAGAATTCTTGTAAATATGAATTCAGCTTCAGTTGTCTTTTTTCTGTTTAATGTGAGCTTTTCAAAATAAATGTGAAATTTTAAAAAGGCTCAAAATTTCTACTGTGAATGGTCGTGTTTAAAATCGCTGGCAGCAGGAATGGTAAAGAACAGGCTTTTGCAGGACTCACATGTGTATATCTACAGTTTAGTGAGCTGATATAATCTGACCGTCTAACATATTTAAAAAAAAAGAAAATTCATCAGAAAATTCTATCACTTTTAAATCTGTTTTAGCTGGAAGTTTAAATGATTTTTATTAGACACTACTACTTTATGAGATTTTAAAATGAATTGTGTTGAAATGAAAATAAAAGGGATCAAATCTGGGAGTGTAAATTTCATCTTTACTTTGTAGCATTTTGTTGCAGCATCCCTTCAAAATAAGGGCCTTTCAGAAAATCATTAACACACTCATTTGTAAAGTAAATAGTTAACATGCATCAAAGCATGAACAGTGCTTTCATTAATTTTTTATATAATGTGTGTGTATATGTATATGTATGTACAAAGTATAGACTTTGTACATAGAAACCCATACAATAAATTACACACTAATATCTTAAATAGATAGCGTTGCATGGATCATAGTTTAATTCACCGCGATGTACGTGTTGAGCTGCAGTAACGTTAACAAACGTAAACTCACTAGCTGAAACACAGACACAGAGCCGTCCTCGGAGTTCTTTGATGAAGAGTCCGGTCGTGGAGATAATGAATCAGGACGTTCATGTTCTCTAACACTCACAGGCTGACTTTAATGCTGAGAGGAGGAGGAGGAGTAGGAGGGGGGAGGCTGCTGAACTCCTCTCTCCTCGCAGAAAAACACGGAACAACTTTCTGCTCGCGTGTTGTCGAAGCTCGACAACACGCGCTGCATACGTGAACCCCGTCTGTGGGCGTCACCAGCACCATAGACATACATTATACATGGGCGGCTGTGGCTGAGTGGTTAGAGCAGTCGTCCTCCAATGCAAGAGTTGGGGGTTCGAATCCACCAGCAGTCACATGCCGAAGTGTCCCTGGGCAAGACACTGAACCCCCCATCGCCTCCGATGTGTGTCCCATCGGTGTATGAATGTGATAAAGCTCTGATTAGTCTCTTTAGAATGATTTGTTCAATTAGCTTTGTAGAGATCTAGTAGAGTGCTGTGTGGATGGGTAAATGAAGGCACAGATTGTGTTGTAAAGTACTTTGAGTATCTTGATTAGATAGAAAGGCGCTATATAAGTACAGTCCATTTATACATATAATTTATACATTTATACAGTCCATATACGGCAGCTCTATACAGCTTTGGGTATAAACACAGTCTGTTTGTCATATGTATATATACACAGAGCATATATATATATATATATATATATATATATATATATATATGTATT